TGAGAAAGGACCTAAGACCTTATGTGCAATAAGTTTTGTCTCCAACGCGACATATGAGCCTAGACGATAAACGTTTAAAACAATGTCAAGGAACGTAAACTTGGTAACAGCAAAAATTACTAACAATATAAAAAGGCGGTGGGTCAAAAAAGACCCGAAGACCGCTCTGGGGTTAATCTCACTGAAACTCATCCCCAGACAGGGATGAAATCTAGATCTTGAATGGGGACAATAAATACCTATCAATTGATTATGATAAAAAGAAATGATAGCGAATAATTTCTTCTATGTAAACAGTACTCATCATAAATCTCGAATAGTGATAATGAACGCGAAAAAAATATTTATATCTTATAAACGATGGCAAATAATTTCTTTTATATGAGTAAATATTATTTCTACGAATGAAGAAGGAAAACTCCATATTTCATAGAGAAAAATGTTCCATTTGCCATGAACATTATTCCCTCGTCAACAATAGAAAATTAAGCAAAATTTCATCTCGGAAATTCTACGCGAAACGTGTCCTAAATTATTCACTTATTCCATTAAAATAATAATTGCTCGAATACTAATTGATTAATATCCCTCGTGGTAATTATGTTTTATAGAAAAACAAATAAAAAGAGATTTGTTATCTCTTCTTAACTCTATAATAATTTTACTCCATTACTGCTTAAGGATAATTTGATTCCATTCAAATTGTTTCGTAATAATTTCACGCGTATAGGTACACTATATTCAAATTTTTATTCCACGTCTATCTATAATTATAACGCAACGGTTGAGTTTCTGAAACACACCCGTTATTCGAACACAGAACGGTTACGTTCAAAACACTAGCCATCCTTTGTTAACGCACAAACGTGCAATAACAGGAAATACGTATTCACAGCTCTTATGCATTATTACGCAACAATCTGCAACCTATATGGGCCATCGTGGGCAATCTCGAATCGTTTCAATTGTGTAATAGTACAACGCACTGTCGACGTTTAATCCCTCCCAGGCTGACGTATTTTCGCACACCACGCTAAAAGATCAATCGTTGTATTGTTCATCCGGCTATTTTTAGTATTTTATGTGTTCAGTATTTTTCAATATCCACTAACGCAACAATTTTTGCCAATTTTTAGTCGCTTAATTTCTTTGATAAGAGATTTTTAATCTTCGAGAAACGAAATTTTCTTTTCACGTTACACACTGCGATATAATATTTATAACTGTAAGTGAAAATTAATTTTCTTAGCAATTTTTTAACCAACTTTTAGTTTCTTAATTTCTTTGATTGGAAATTTTTTAACTTTCAAGAAATGAAATTTTCTTTTTCACGTTAAATACTGTGGTATAATATTTATAATTGTAACTGAAAATTAATTTTGCTACCACTTTTTAAACCAATTTCACCAATTTTCAGTTAATTTCTTTGATAACAAATTTTTAAATTTTGAAGAAATAAAATTTTCTTTTCATGTTACACACTGTTATGTGATATTTGCAATTTTAACTGAAAATTAATTTTACTTCGTTTTCACATTATCGCAATAAACACGCAGCAGGTATGTGCCGTTTTCTAAGAAGACAATTTCCCAAAATCTCTATCCCGTGAAATTTTGTTAAAATGGCTCGATCAATTGCGCTCTCCCTCTCAGATTAAAAATCCCACGATAGTATGGCGAAACGAGTTTTCACAAGGGAGCAGAATACGAAAATTGAGAATATAAGAGCATCCTGAAGAATAATCTGGGATAAAAGCTTCCATCTCAACCTCAATTGGAAAGGCAGGATAACACAGGCTTCGATACAAATTCATATACCTACTGTAGTTTTGTAGAAAGGTACTTTTCATCTGTTGTACAGAAAGAAGGTACGGTACAAATGGAAAGAAACATTCAGAAAGGGAACAAAACGAAATTCTCCGGGAATATCAACAACTTTTACTTAGAAACATCGTGGAATCGGATATAAAAGCGTAATTGCTATTGTTTTCGCAAAACTTCCCGTATTTACCAAGAAACTTTCTTCGTATAATATGATAATTACACAAATTCACAATAATCACGATAATAAGAACATTTTTATGGATGTAAATTACGAAGTTCCTGAAATTAATACTGCTTCAAATTAGACGGATAGAAATTCATAATAAATCAGCCTACGCAACTGACTTTGCCGTCACATTAATTGCCTGAAATGGAAATGTGACCTTCTCGTTATTACTGCGTAAGTACTTTGAGTCATCTGTCGAATGTTACATGTTAGCTTTCTAGAGACAATTACGTCCAACAGACGAACCGTATTATGCACTATGCAAAATATAGTGAAACGTTACGAAAATAATGATACCACGAAGAATTTCATTTCCCCACTAAAATCTTAGACAATTCGTTCAATTAACGAATTGAAGCTTGAAACGTGCACATTCGACCTACCGAATCAATTTCAATTAAAAATTAAATGGCAAATGATCGAATGCAGAAGAAAAACAAGGATTCATGTACCTTAATAAATCTATTTGTAACTCTGTTAACTGGCAGCTAGATTTTAATTGATCAAAACAACCAGTAACACGATATAGCAAGTTTTCTTGCAGGATGTTATTACGTCGAGGAATGCTGATAAAGAAAAACGTTGCAAAGTAGTATTCAACAAAGTAACTATTCTTGTACACATGCTCACCTGACATTATAAAAGCGAAGAGTGAGTGTGAAGTAAAGTCAGGGTCACTATAATAAATTCACTTCATTTCATACTTCTAGTTCACCAGTTATTCGTTGCAGTGTATCTATTCATACGGATATAAGTACATACATATGTGAAATTATTGAACTTACTTGCACTATTTCCCGTTAAACGGTATTATTGCTTCAAAGATTATCAATTACCGATATGAATCTTTAAGAACGATAAAAAAGTCATCTGTCCTGCCTACGCTATCGTTTTTACCGTCTGAGCGTTCGAGTGAAAGTTCTCCGGCAACTGAAGAACCGTTAAAAAGTCTCAGGTTTATCCTTACGCTCCTATTCTATCCGCGCGTCACGCTACCAATTATTCTCACGTTTCGCTATACCCGATTTCGTAATCGTTCTTCTTATCGCGTGTTCCCCCTGTTATCGGGAAATCGCGAATTAACACGAACCACCACGAAGCCATTCTACACTCGTCCCTCGACAGAAATCGTCAATTTCCGCCGAGTTCCGGCTCGCGACGCACGAGGCGTCAATTTCTAGCTTCACGAAACGTATCTTCAAACACTCGTCGAACGACGTGCAGACAACACAGAGACGGAGAAAGAGAGAGAGGGAGGTGAAAATTGCGTCCTGCATTGTGTATTTGTCACTTGTTTACAAAGTAAATTCTTCACACAGTTCGTATTTATTCTGTATTGCTTACCTCATCGAGTGTGGTTTCCTCGTGGCCAGGCCGCCTCGTAGTCAGCTTCTCATTTTTCCTCTCTTTTTCTCCTTGATTGCCAACATTGTAGCCATGTGTACGCGAACGTGGCCGTTCCGTGCAACGATCACCGCCATGACACACGATTCCTCGTTCCCGCGACACCGACACGCACCGAAACGTACATTTCACGAGCTACACGAAACACACGCGCGACATCCAGCGGGATCTTTTTGGCAGCCGGCAACAGGTCGCGGTGAGTGCCGCCGCTATCCCGTGACACGCGTCCGCCGTGTTATTGTTTATTGTTCGGTCACAACACGGCTCCCCGGCGTCGGTAACGTCGTCGTTCTCGCGATTGCTCTATTTCGGTCCCTGTCAGGTAAGAGAGGAGGGACAGCCGCAGTCCGGCTCGGACGAATGCTTGGCGACACTATTAACGAAGCTTAAGAACGACCACTCTGCACGCTGAAAGAGAGAAAAAGAGAGAGAAGAGAGAGGGAGAGACAACGATGGTCAGAAGCAGAGAAAGAGTGAGCGTAAAAGAGAGGAGAAACACGAGACTAGCCAGCGGCTACCATTATAAATAGTTGTGGACGCTAGCAATGGGAGAGATACTCTGGTGTTCACCAGGTGAAACAGTTGTGGTTATCTTAACTGACACTTTGTGAAAAAATGATAGAAATTTTTCGAATTATCGCTAATATTGAAAGTAAACAAGGATAAAAGTGGTTGAGAAGTAATTTGAGATGGTAATTTGAAAGAATATTTTTGTATCGTTTGAACATATTCGAAATTGTATCGTTCCCATCACTACCGACTGAGTTAACTAAATGGAGATGAAAGAGAAAGAGAGATAGGAAAGGACGACGGAAGTATGCGTACGAGAGGAACAGAGAGAGAAACGGAAAACGGCTTCTCGTTCGCTCCACCTCTCATGCTTTGCGTCATTGTTCCGTCACTGAGGTCTGCCTTGAATTTTAACGGACTGCGGTCCTAACATGTAAATTTACATGGTTTTGTTCCTACAAATGGCAGTTGCCAATTTTGCAGTCTCGTTGGCTATAACGAACTACAATATTGGACATGTCGAATAAGTGGTACGTGCATAAAAGAAACACTCATGCTACGTAATTAACAAGTTTATTAATCAACATCATAATTACTACCTATAAATACACGTTTACAAGCCATATTTACGAACAGCATATTCCATTGTCATTAAAGAACAAAACCGTATTACATTTATTAGCTTTCGATTCACTTGCAAAGCAGAAACACTTTTATTTTCAAGAATATAAAACGTATCGAGGAATTACCTTAAGACAAGTATCCTAAACAGTCCATGTTCAAAATGTTTTTAAATCTTGAATCAATTGCGTCAGTATAGGAAACTATGTACAAAATCGACACATAGTTGAAATTATATTGTTTTCAAGTTACGTATCCGATTATTTGATACTTTTCTGTGTTTAGGTTCTCATATTTCAAAATGTTTCTCTTAAAGATGAAATTCTCCGAGGTACTAAAATTCGCACGACAGCTATCATTACACGCAGATTCCGTATTGCTTATTTTAGGGAGCGTTTGTTGGCAGCACTTCGACGTCCCGTACCTGTTTATAAGTTTTGGCGCGAATCCGAAACGTCATGACGACTGTCGAGTATTTACGAACGCATCATAAATCGATCGATGTATTTTCGTATACATATTGCTTTCAGCGAAGTCGCGGGTTCGTATGTTTTTAATTAGGAATACAACGTGTTGTGGGTGTCGGTAACAAAAGCGATGTGATTCATCGACGGTGCATAGGTGTCGTTAATTATATTCGATAAGCACGTTGCACTCATAACAGAAGAATACTCGAAGAAAAGGTCAAGTAAGGGTGATAAAAATAGATCGAGAAAAAAGTAAAGTGCCACCAGGGTGATTTTCATGAATAAGCCATTACGGTTTCATCGGAATTCTTCTGTCACGACGTCGTGAGGTAAGGTTAAGTTAGTGGAATGCAAGGGCGCTGGGCGAAAGTTTTTTTACCCCTACGATTCGGGAGGAACTTTTGTTTTTACAAGGAAAACTACTCCCGTTCCATGAACCGTCGCAGATTCATCATTTTCCAATTTATTTTTTCTCTCTCGTGATCTCCGAATTTATTTATCGACGTAATCTATGTCAGCAAGAATCTAAAGAAAGTCGTCGAATCGGTGTGTTAGTTTTTTGAGTGTGAATAAAGAACACGTGATTGAAGTCTTAATAAGGAACAGTTTTCTTCCCCATTGGAACACTTATAATTTACAATTCGTGATTACAAGTTCGTGTAACGTATCAAATCAAGGTTCTTCTCCTTAGGATAGGGAAGCTTCCTCGCGGAACTCGTTAATTACGATAAACCGTTCTCATTTTATTTTAATAATGTGTGTGCGTGTATTTTGTACAATATAATAATAATAATTGTAGTAGCAATAGAAGTAGTAGAGTAATAATAGTAGATGTAGTAGTGGTAGAACAGCTGAGAAATAGTAACAGCGTATTTTATCTCGCCGGAATGCTCGCCGTTATAGGTTAGGTTGTTTCGCGTAGAGGCATGTAGTAACGTGGAAACGTGCGCCTTCTTGCGTCGCCCTCTCGCAATCGTTTTGGTTGTCGCGTAAGACTGGAAACGTAAAGCCGCCTATAACGACGAGATTCTGGTACAATGGCGTATCCCATTGTTGATCTCTACTGCCGCCACGACTATATATTCGTTGGTTCGTAGGATGTTTCGAAGATTGTTTTTGATGATCAAATACGATTTGAATCTGCGGTTAGGTGTCGATTTTCCAGAGGAGACTTTTTTGTTTAATTTATTCTTCCTCTTCCTCCTCCTCTTCTTCCTCTTCCTCCTCCTCCTCTTCCTCCTCTTCTTCCTCCTCCTCTTCTTCACCCTCACCTTCTCCCTCCTTCTTCTCGTCACCCTCCTCCTCTTCCTCTTCCTCCTCCTCCTCCTCTTCTTCTTCGTCGAATTGTGGCTCCTCTAATTCTTCGTCTTCAGCCGCAGCCTTCACGTCTTCTTCGCCTTCCGGAGATTCGGGGTCTCCTGGTTTCTTGCCTGGCCTCTCGCCGAACCACTTCGGTAACTTCGCTGTTTTTTTTAATTTTTTTTTTTTAAGGAAGAAAAACATATTACATAATTGACGATATTTGATTTTTTTTAAGTTTTTCTTAATGTACCTCGTACCATGAGAGCGAGTTTTTTTTTTCTTTTTTTTAACTGTAAAGAAGCGAAGAAGTAGAAAAAATTGTGAAGTTTGAGGAATTTTTGACATATTCCATATATAGAATGAACCGGGAGTCAAGCACACGGACATGTGCTTTCAATTTTCTAAAAAAGTTCTTCTCGCTTTTCATCGAACGAAGGTACTTCGACGTCGGCGGAATATACTTCTCTCTGTGGTCGTTGCAGTTTGTCCTAGTTTTCAGAAAATATTCTGGCTGGTCAGGTTTCAAGACCCGCGTCTCGAGCAAACGCACACCACGATACGTAACATAATAAACATGTGAGAAACAACAGAACGCTTCTTACGCTACTGTACATTCCTATATCTATATGTATACGTCTTACAGTTTCAATAAACTGTAACAACATTCCCGACGTATTTGAACAATCGATACGTACATTTTTCAAATAGATAAAACGTATTATGCTACAACCACAATGCATTATACGTTTCCCATTTATCTCGTAGAAAAAGAAAACCGAAATGATTAAAAAAGAATTTATCTTTTACAAAAACCGTAAAAAAGAATTGGAAATAATTTGTAAATCAAAATAATTAAAAACCATTTCATCTTTAACAAGAATCGTCAAAAGGAATTGGAAATAATTTGTAAAGAGAAATAATTAAAAAGGATTTTATCTTTTTAAAAAATGGTAAAAAAGGATTCGAAATAATTTGTAAAGAGAAATAATTAAAAATGATTTTATCTTTTAAAAATATCGTAAAAAAGAATTGGAAATAATTTGTAAAGAGAAATAATTAAAAATGATTTTATCTTTTAAAAAAAATTTCTCGGCGCAACTGGATCTTCCAAAAAGTACTATATTTACGAAAAGTCACAGGGTGCGTTTGCTCGAAAATAGAATTAGCATACGTACTCTTCTGACGACCGAGGAATTGTTCCTTCTGTTGCGCCCATTGCTTCTCTATGACCTCCTTCTGTTGTTCGGTCAGACCCTGCAACACCAACGGACAAAATGGCATGCTAGGATATATTGTCACACGGAGGAGATGACGGGGGTGGCCACTCGCCTGAACCCTTTCCTTGGTTTGCGAGATATTGCCGTATAAATCTCTCCATGGCGAGCTCGGGGCTTGACAAGTGGCGGAACAAATTAACGAGTCCTAGTACTATACATATTCCTCCGGAATCTCGACTTCGCGTGCGTGTGTCTGCTTTTTCGGCTAAACGAGATGAGATCGCTCTCGAAGTCGAAGTGGAACGTCGGTGATACTCGACGAAACACCCGTTGTTACCTTGTTTCACGATTGTTAATTGTCTCTGTTTTTTCTTTCTCTAGTTACACAAATTCTTCTACCTTCTTATCACATAAACTTCCGGTTAGCGGTTTGACGAAAACGTGAGAGTGTGCAAAAATTCTTCCATTGGAAGTGTGTCGGTGTAAAAATAATGATTTCTGTGCATGCGTTGTGGTAATACAAAGAAAAGAATTAATCTTGAACAGTAGAGTGTTTTGTTTCACATTCTAAAAATGATTTCTCTGAATTTCAAGGTTTACCTAACTAATGAGATATCCATATTTCCATCTGGCACGATTGCGATCGATTCGTACTCGTTCCAACTTTCCTAGCATGTTTCGCTCTTCGTGACCGTGTTCATGGTTGTTTCGGTGATAAATTACAGGGGGTGTGTAATGAATTACAATCAACGGGGTGAGTACTGTACTTTGTGAAAGAACACGAGCATAGCAACACTTTCAAATGATTTCTGGTGCTCTAAAATTGACTATTAATTAATGGACATCTAACACGAATTAAAAAAAGAGAAACAAAATCATCGTTAAGAACGATCTTTCAGACTAAGAGGGGGGTGGTTTTGGGGGCAACAAGGGGTTTCAACCAGCAACGCAAGCAAAAGAAAGGGGTGGTACACTAACGGAGAGAGCTCGATAGGACTCACTTTTGGTGCGCTTCATGAACTGTTCTGTTTTCTGTTTCCACAGTTTCTCGTTGTACTCCGCTAAAAGCGTGTCATAGCCCTGCGATTCAATTCTTCACTGATCACTTCTTTCAAACTATTATTCTCTACAAGTATCTTCTAACGAGCCGTGTCGCTTATTCTTTATCGCTGTTTTTTTTTTCTTTTCTTTTTCTCTTAATTTCGTAATGTCGTGTCTGTCACTCTATTTGTTCTACAACGTGACATAATCTTTTGTTTGTTTTTTTTTTTTTTTTAATTACTTTTTTTCACATGCACGTCAATTTTGAGTCCACGGTCGTATTTTTACGTACCGTCTATCTTTTTTTGTCGGGTTTTCTAGATTATTGATTTTAGGGGTTTCGAATTATTTGGCCAGATTAGAGATTATTTCATAGATAGCGAATTTCTGGGTCAGGTATTTACGAATATTCGAAGAATCAGCGACTGATCGAGTCAACGAAAATCATACTTACACCCTCGAAGAGCTTCTTCTTGTCGTCGTAAGACCTGGTATCCACGCGACGCTCGTATTTGGAGGCGACTTGGATCTTGGGCTGTACAAAGGGAAATAATTGTAGAACCCTTTAAAGGAAGTCTGTCGCGTTAATGTTTAATTCCCCCCCCCCCTTTTTTTAATCCAGCCACTTACAGGGTACTTGCCGGTAAGGGCTTCGGGATCAAGACCTTTCTTCAAGGCCTTGTGCCTCAACTGCTGCTTCTGACGTTCCTTTAATTCTTTAAGCTGCAAGCAAAACACGAGATTATTAATTACAACGTCAATTTTCCTCCAAGAAAATTACGAAAGTTGGATACATTTCAACGTTGATAACACTCACGTCATAGTCCTGGCGTTTCTGTCGCTCTTCAAGATCGTATTTCTCCGTTTCCAGCTTGACAATGGTGTCCCAGAGTTCGTTGGCCTTCGAACGGAGCTTTTCAATGGAGAAACCCTCGATTTCCAAAGGTTTGATGCGAATGCTCAGCGAGATTTTCTTCTCCTCCTCGAGCTGTTCTTTCGTCTTGTTGCGCTCCAGTTGCGCCGACGTAAGGTTACCCTGTGTCCGACGTAAATGTTCGTCGATAACTCGGTGAACAGAGCTTGGACGACGTTTTAACACACGAAAATTCACACTTACCGCTAGGTCTTTCCTGGTGATGGTAAAGTTAGGGCCTTTCTTGCTTTGTTCTTTCATCGCCTGCATCATAGCCTGACGTTTCTTTTCTGATTCTTCAAGGCGCCTGCGTGAAAGAAGAACAATTGTATTTTTTTCAATGTAATATCTCGTTATCTGGTTACCGTATGGAACTTGGTAGGAAATTTAAAAGACACGAAGAGATACGTACCTTCTCTTTTCTTCCATATCACGTTGTTTCTTCTCCTCTGAAAATTTTCAACGAGCGTCAGCATCGAAGGGAATCGAACGATCCGTATAAGTAATATTCGAACAAAATATACGACGATACACAAAACTGACCGATTTCACGTTGGCGACGTTCTTCCTCCTCCTTCTTTTTCTGAGCCAATCTCTTCTCCTCGTCCGCGCGAGTGATCTTGCGCTTCGCTTGCTTCTCCTGCGAACACGCGGGAAAGGACGAATGGAATCCTATGCATGTAAGAAAGCGTAACAAAAGAGAATAGAAGAGAACGTTAAGCTACGAACCTTCAATCTCTTCAGTTCCTCCTCCTCCTTGGCTCTCTGCTTTCGCCATTCTGCAATGTATTCCTTGAGCTGTTCGTCTAGGTCGCTTCTCTTCTGTTCCTGCCTCTGTGTAGCCGTAAAAATGACAGAATGTAAATACGACACCGCTACGGGGATCTCCTATAGATTTATAGCATATATCTAGGAGATCACGGGGATCTCACACGCTCCTCACCTTCATAAACTCGATATTCTCCCCAGAGTCCCTGATGTAGGCCGGAGCGAAAACAAAAGTAACTCTCTTTAGTTGCTGTCGCTCGTCCTCTGAGAGATCTCGCAAGATCTTCCAGAACTCCGTATAACGCCACTCTCACGTTCCACTTTCCATTATTTATTACACTTCATCCATTCTCTCTCTCGTGGCGAATAATTTCACCTAGCCTCGTTTCTTTTTTGGATCTTTTCTTTTTTTCGAGTTTTATCGTAACTCTTCTCACGTATCGCGCGCGTAAACAGCCAGACAAACAGACAGACGCACACGCAAACGGACAGGGACGGACGGACAGGCAAGAGAAAAAGTTGTATTCGTATAAGCGTACGGAGAGAGAAAAGAGAGAGAGTATTAGGTGGAAGAAGTGTGAAGGGGAGGAATCTTGAGAGGAGGAAGGGAGAAACAGGACGTTAATGAGTTTACCGGGGCTGAGGGAAATCGATCGGTTCGCGGCGCGGAGGGAATCCATTAGACTGTTCACGGACAGGATATTGGAAAATTGATCGAGGGTTTTACCGAGTATTACGCGGTCACTTGAATTTAAATTCTGTTTCGGCTCCGAGTCTCGTTATCATAAATCGATAAATTTAGAAACAAACAGGGGGATCGGTTTCTTCGCTGTTCCGAGGCTGCTCGTGTTAAATAATGCACCAAGTGTCTGATATCGCAATTGTTCAGTTTTCGTCGTTTCGTTAAGTCTGGATAATCAATTTCGACGAATGGAACGACGAAACATTGTAGGTATATCGGATACTTTGTGGAATATTCAACGTCGACAGTCGCAAACAGCGGCTCGAAAAGAAAAATTGCAGTTTATTTAGAAAATAAAATTTGAAATATTTTTGAAAATAAAAATTTAAAAAAAAGAAAAAAAGAAACAAGAAGGTAACTTGGAGACATTTCAAAGTAGCGAGATATTCTCGAATATGAAGGCTCGCGACCACTGTTGATCGAATTACATCACGTGGATCGAGTCCAGGATAACTCTAAAATAAGGGAAGGATCTCTAATTTTAAAGATGATACCGCGATGACGGAAAATAGACGACTGGGCCGATCTTGTGAGATCTTCGGGATGGAAAGTGGACACGCGGGATCGGTTCGTTTAGTTTCTCTTTTTAGCTGGAAAATTCGAAGCCGCGCTCGAAGAACAAGCGATTAAGCGTTTTTCTTTTCACAGAAAGCAATTTCAGCAGGCTCGAAGAGAAAATTTCGACAGATTTGAACAGCGCACACAAACGAGAACAATCGATTTTGTCAATTTAGATACTGTCAGTTAGATTTTTCTTTTCTTTTTGAATCTCCTGAAAAAAAAAATTCACGTTCGTATCTTCAACCACGCGACACGATACTAGGTGAAAAGTTTGCTTCGTGACAAAATGAGGTAAAATAAAGTAATTCGAAAAATAATTTTCACAAAGTCGCAGAAAAGAAGACGACGATAAAGGATAATTGGGAGAGAATTGGAGAACAGAGATCCTAGCACTCACTCTTCTTCTCGTCAGACATTTTCTTCTTCTTTCCGAAACTCAAATGCAAGCAAGACACACATAGTCGCCGCCAGTTATAACAGCGTCACCGCTGTCGTCATTCTTATTATCAATTATTATCCACAACGCTGTAAAAAAAAAAAGCCACAGTCGAAAGCCGAGGAGCTGGCCAATTTTGTATGAAAAATATGGTTTCCACGATCGTGTCATTTCTGTAAGGTCGCTGAATCTTCACGCGATCGTATCCCATTTCAGTTCTGCCTTAGAGATTCGAATAACCGTTGAAAATTCCGCTACTTCGAAATCGATTGAAAGGCTACAAATAAAATTCCTTTGATTATTATTAGAATTGTACTCTATATACACGGTGTACGCAACGTAGCGTTCTAGTTCAATGCGAGAAGCGCGAAAAATGAAGCTGACCGAGTGGGATCGTTTCCAAATTTCGCATCTTGGTCACTTTTATCCCCGGCGAACCTCGCCGGTTGACAATATTGTAAACAACGTTTAACCGCCCGTTACACAACTCGATTGCGAAACGATCCTGCGAAATTACGCGAAACAAGACACCCGAGCGGTGTGCGCCTCGCGAATTAGAACGGGTCCACGTGAAAATTCAACGACCCTCGAACGATTCGGCCGATCATTTTCATTGCGACAGTTTGCTGCGGGTCGATTGATTATGGCGCAAAATCTTCAACGTAATTAACAAGAACGCGACATATAGAGGGGGTGCACAGAGAGAGGGTGGAAACATCGGGGACTTGCACGAAAGGTGACAGAAACCAAGAGAAACAACAAAAGGAAAAGAAACAAAAAAAAAAGAAAAACACGACTCCTTCGGGAACGCAGGATACAAAAAATGAGAGAGAGAGAAAAAAAAACAACGAAACACGGTTATCAAATTTGTTGGCGGTTCTTTCTCTCGAAGAGATCAACGGTTGCGAAACGGTTGATAAACTCTCGAGAGAAAAACACTTGCGATGCTCGTGCCGAACGCACACGTTTCGTGTGCGTTCACTTGTAAAATGACACACGGAATTATGTAATATGTACAGAGAGCCGTTAATTCGTGATTAATCAAGAAGAGAGAGAGAGAGAGAGAGACAGATAGAGAGAGACAAAAAGAAAAAACACGAGAGGGGGTGAAAGAGAGACAGATAGACAGAGAAAGATAGAAACATGAGCTTTGGGGTGGGGGTGTTTTGCTTCGAGCACTGATCACCAATTATTAGACCATTTTTTTTTTTTCATTTTTTCTTCGTTCTTGACGGGATCGAGACATTACAATCTACATATATATATATAACAATATACACGTTACGTGGATTTTCTACGAGGTGTAAAAAGAGAATTGTTATCACTACACGTGGAACACGTATAAGACGATTTTGGTATTATTCGGAGAAAAGAGACGAGAAAAGGGGGTACTTTCTTCGTGCGTGTAAAATTTCGAAAAAACGGTGAACAATGAAAATATATATATAGGGTGTGTACATTTACCACGAGGTTTATACTGCACCGAAGGTGAGGAATGTCCGTCGACCTAGAAAGAGTAAAGATAAGACTGTTTTCCAACTCTTGTTCTTCCCCCATTTGTCAACAGTACAAACGCTAACCGAGTCTAAGAATATTCAATTCTTTCGTGTTAATCGTGCCTGAATACTTGTCACCGTATGTATTAATACCGAGCCTTGGCGTTAAGTGAACACCGACGAGGGCGGAGGAGAAAAGGGGGCTGACAATTGGTCTGTGTGTGCTTTTCCACCGGACGGTTTCTCCCGCTAATTAGATTGCATCAGTTTCGGTACACCTCGAGTGAACACCACAGCTTCGGTATAAGAATAAACCGCGTTACGTTATCGTACACATATTTATGAAACGTTTGGCAATAGTCCAGCCGACACGGGTTATATTAGTTTGCGCGCGCCCCATTATGCAACCGCCGCCGCATAATACGGTCAAAAGCCTTAAAACTGTTCGATCAGAACCCAACCTTCGTCGTTCATAGACGTTCGCGTGAATGTGCACGGCTGCTTTTAATTGCCCGGGGCGTTCTCGCACGGTCAAGAACCTCGGGTGTGGAAAAGAGCGAGAGATCGTGTACACACAACCGCGCAGACACCCCTAAACCGTGTTGAAAGAGATTCTAGGATCGAAACGATCGATTTTTTCAATATGTTTTTTTTTTCCTTTGCAAAATTTAACCGACTAGTATTCCTCGCTGAACGACGAATAGTCTGTCCACAACGCGTGAAACGAAAGACGCAGATGAGCGTTTCGATCACCGGGAATGCGTGTCTCGTTCCCGCCAAAAAATTCGAAAAATAAAGCGCGGACTTGAGAAGGGCTTGGGGGTATTTTGTGAGAGCGGCCGAAGAACAAAGAAAGTATTATTGACGTGTAATTATAAACAACCTTTTCGAGATTTTCAACTTACTTTTGGGACGCCCTACCCCTACAAAAAAAGAAAGGAAAGGTACATTAATAACAGTGGCAATCGTTTAACGTGGTTTCTTTAACGTGGGACTGTGTGGCGGAAAGCCGCGCAAACTTTGCCCGACTTATCGTGTTCTCTTTTTTTCTTTTTTTTTTTTTCATAATTTTCTTTTCTATCCGTTTCAGAGTTCCGATCAAGCTTTCGAGAGAATCGTTAAGACGGCCAAAAAATGGCGTCGTTAAAATGGACGACAGTCTGCCGCGTTCCATCCGCTTTTATTCTCCTCGATTCCCTTATTTTTTTTCTTTCTTTCTTTCGTTCTTTTTACTACCAAGTCGTAAGAGAGAAGTTTTACGTTTATAGGTTGTAGTATTTTTCATCGGTTTCTTTTTTTTTTTCTTTTCACGGATATATATGGAACAGCGAACGAGGAGAACAGGCAGCCTACCGTCACTTTCATATCCGGAGGATCTTGTCACGATCACCTGCGACGGTTACAGTTTTTTTTTTTTTTCGTTTTTTTTTCGCAGAAACAAAAAAGCCTTTCCACAGGCCGAAATTGCGAGAGAAACAGAACAATTATGCGACAGAGATAATGCGCAGAAAGACAAAAGGTTAGGTGTGGTTGTGGGCGTGACGGGGCGACTTTTTCCTCCGTTCGATCCGTGCTTGAAAAGTGAAACTCTCTCTCGTTTGGCCGTTAATCAGGTTACAAAGGCAACTGGAACCCGATGAAAAGTTTATCGAACGCCTCGCCTCGCCACGGTCGTTGAATACGTAAATTCTCGAACGCGAGACGGTTGGGTAAATGTTGAATTACGATAATAAATGTGGATATCGAGGGCAAAAAATGCTCGTTCGCGGTAGAATTTCATAGGTGTCGTCAAAACTTCCCTCTGAAAGTATTCGTTATTCGTTGTCGCAACCTGTTAACCGAGGGAGATAAACGGCCGATACTTCGAACCTAATGGAATCCTCCATTTTTAATTTTATCCCTATGTCTGATAGTAGATTTGTTATTCGAACATTACAACTGTCGCGATTCATTTTTGGAAAAGATCTAATTTTTAAGAGGGAAAATTTTTAAAAAGTTTTTTTAAATTTCATTGCTACGAGTTAAAGTAAGTTTCTAAGGAAATACGAACTCTTTCGTTTTCACTGATTTGATAATTCCAGTGTTAAACGTGAAAATTACGCTCACATTTACAACAGCGAAGAAAAGGAAAACTGGTTAAAATCTACATACTCCAGAGATTTTAATTCTGACTTAAAAAACAGTGGACTCGGTTAACAGGTTAGAATTCTAAATTTAGAGAGAGAGATATTCGCTGTAAAGAGAAAAATTTGCTATCTTTCCAGGAAAAAAGAAGAATTCCTCGAAGTTTGTTCACTTTTCAAACACATCTGTGTCATGTAAATGCGTGTAGGGGGGATGCTTTTCTTGGTTCGACCAAAAAAAAGTCACCGTATAGTAAAAGTACATACGAGAGTGTAGAAAATAGTGTAATAAGACAGAGGGACAAGGTGGCGGCGATAGACATACTCGTTCAACCATCGACACAACAACAGCGACACAGCATCAAAAAAAGACGATACGATGAAGACAGCGGACGAACCAGACAACAGTGAAGAGAAAAGTGACGTAGTCATAGAGAGACAAGTAGAAAACAGAAAGAGACAGAAAGGGAAAGACGGAAAGAAAAAGAAACAAAATTGCTCGTTGACAGATTCCTTTGATCGCCGAATACCGACGGAGTAAAAAAGAACAGTCGGTGTACGAAAATCCAGAGTCAAAAGTAAACTACGAAAAAAAAAAAAAAATATGGAACAAAGTTACGAGGCTTTCGCGAAACTCGGCTACCTTTTAGGTGTGGAAGTAAAAAAGAAAAAAAAAACACGGCGGCAGGAAAATATCGCTCCGGAAACAACGTAAAACTCGCGTCGCCCATGTACTACGGCGTGGTACACGACACGCGAGGATCTACGGACGATAATTTTAAGCGTGCAAAGGCGAACGAGAAAAAAAAAAGAAAAGAAAGAACGAAGACGACACCGGCACGTTTCGCTAGTGCTAAAGTGGGGAAGAGGTGATTTTTCATCGTCACCGTTGCGCGAGCCATTGTGCGGCCAACGATATCGGATTACTTTAACGTTTAACTCGAAAATTCCATCCGGCCGGCGCAGAAAGCGGTCTCGCGATGAAATTAAAAAGCCTCCGACTCTCCGGGAGACGCGTCCGATGGAGAAATAAAAGATCGAATAGAACCGAAGGAACGACGACGACGATGAAACGGAGTTCACCGAGAATGGATTTTCCGAGTGACTTATCTCTCGCGGCGATAGACAGAGAGGTGAAAATTCGTCGTTATCGCGAGATGGTAAAGACGGAAAAAAAAAAACGAGCCTCTTTTTCGCCGGAAATTAGTAATCACACACGTCTATGTACAACGTCCAGCTTTGGTGAAAGAGAATCCAGAAAAGAGAGATATTTACGGAGAGAAGAGATGTATAAATGTCTTTTTTGCAAAAAAAAAGAAAAAAAAGTAGGTAAAAATGAATCGTCGATCGTCTCCATCGACGATGCCCGCGAAAAACAGGTGAATTTACCGACTCGACGAGA